TCTCGAAGGTGACCCTCGTTGAATAGACGGGCCACCTCCTCCCTTAGTTGTCTACAGTCTTTGGTTTTATGACCATGTGTACCATGGTATTTGCATATTTGATTAGGGTTCCTTTTGGATGGATCGGTTTGTAGGGGTCTGGGCCATCTAGTATCTTTGATCCTCTCAATGGCTGGCACAATACCTGATGCATCGATGCTAAAGTTGTATTCTGATAATCGTGGTGCTTCTGTGGAATTGGCGTGTTTATCGAAGCCACTTTTACTCATGAGCCCTCGAGAGCTCTATCTTCGATCGTTCCTTCGATCGTTTCGGATAGGATTGTGTCCTGGGCCGCTGTTTCTACGATCTTCGTTGTATGGTTGATACCGATCTCTGCTTGACCGGGGTTCTCTGTCGATATCCCTTTGAGTTCTGCCGATGGGCCTGTTCGGATAAGCGGAACCGGAAGGGGTCCCCAATTGATCATCCTCGCCCCTGATCTTTGACTGGTACCGATTATGTACATCGGCCCAGGTTACCGCATGATATTCAATTAAATTCTTCTTTAGCTGTCGTGATGCCACCGAACTTCGTTCGTTCGAACCTTGAGTAAAGGCTTGAACAACCTAATCATCTGTGACTGGAAGTAGTTTCATGCGTTCCATCTGGAACCGAGATATGAATTCCCTCAACATTTCGTTGTCTTTTTGTTTCACCTTGAAGAGGTCCGACTTCCTAGTCGCAACCTTTATTGCCCTGGCATGTGCCTTTACGAAAGAGTCTGCAAGCATGGCGAATGAGTCGATGGAATTAGGCGGTAAATTGTGGTACCATATCATTGCTCATTTTGACAAGGTTTCTCCAAATTTCTTCAGTAGAACAGATTCAATCTCATCGTCTTCCAAGTCATTCCCTTTTATTGCACATGTATAAGAAGTGACATGCTCATTAGGGTCGGTAGTCCCATTATAGTTAGGAATTTCTGGCATTCGAAATTTGTTCGGAATGGGTCTCGGTGCCGCACTTGGAGGGAAAGGCTTCTGTACGAATCTATACCCTTTAGAATCGGCTGTGCCCCCGGTATTTGGTCAACCCGGGAGTTGTATGTCTCTACTTTTTTATCATTTGCCTCGATTTTCTTTTCTCCCGATTCAATCCGTTTAGTGAGCTCCTCGAGTATTTTAATAATGGCAGGGTCAGTCCCCAATTCGTTGGCATTCAACCTTTCTGTCACAGGCTCGACCCTGTGGAAGACTTCTGGTTCGATCCTACTAGGTGTTCGGTGCTGATTTTGCAGTTGTGCTATAGCGGCTTGTTGATCCTGTAACATTTCGAATATCAACTGGAGGCTAACTCCATCATCTTCTCCGCCCTGCGTATCTCGACCACCTGATCGAACTTCTCTGCGTATGCTGCCTTCGGGATCAAAGCCCAAATTTGCATTTAGGGCGACATGTGAAATGACATCGACGAGATTTGTAATTGGTGCTCCCTCGAGGTCAGCATGAGGCGCCTCGATCCTAAGAGCGGCTATATTGTCATTTTTCCGTGAAATCTGAGGCCGTTGTCACCATGTGTAGGCGCTGCTTGTGAGTTTGACATGTTTATCTCGAAAACAAAAATTCTTACGAGAACAAGTGTAAAGCAGTGTGTGTTATCGGAATCAGTATTAAGCAATTACTATTATCCTTAGCCCCACGGTGGGCGCCAAATTGTTTACCCTTTAAAATTGGATAACAATTAAACTTATAATATGGTTCTAAGGACACGTGATTTCACCTAATACCAATTGATAAATGTGAGGATGTGTAATAAAAATTAACAATAAAGTAAAGCAAACCGGTGTTAGAATGGAACTCAGCCCTCGAGTTTGGATACTCTCGAACTGGTTGATGCCAGAACAATTAAAGTATAGCAAGCTGATGAACAATAGTATAAACGAGAAAGAGAATTATATTGCTTTTTATATCTATCAACCATATCCTACAAAATGATTAGAATCCTCATTTATATAGTAGATGAATTCTACTTATGGTATAATTCTAATTATAGAAGGAAATTCCATGATTAGCTAATTAACCATTTTTGATTTAATCCGTTCCGAGATTTACGCCATAATCCTCGATCAATTGCCGAGATTTATGCCGTAATCCTCGACCAGTCACAAATATCTCGCCTTTCTGTTACTATGCTATCTTCGATCTTGCTCAATGTCTGTTTCATTTGTCTTCGATCGCTACTAACCTCGATCTCGACAGGTACCTCGGTTCTGAACTTGGTACCTTGTCCTCGTGATTTAGTCTGTTCCGTTACGAGGCCTTCTTTCGATGCAATCTCTCGGTTTCGGTCAAATAATAAAATCGGGTGGGCCCGATTTTAACCGTATACAATGTTATTCTAACCAATTATCTTGTTATCCAAATAATGGAGTTTCGACTTTATATTTTTGTATTTCTTCTTCGGATGCAATCATAATTTGTTTTAAAACCACATATTGTTTTTGTGCCAAATCTATAAAAAGAATTGGCTGAAGCTCTATTACTTTTAGCTAAATAAAAAGAAATTCAACTTAAATAATGGCCAAGTTTTTTCACAAATTCAGCCTGAAAAAAAATTGATTACATACAAATAGTATTAAATTTAAAAATTAATGAAATAAAGGTTTATTTTAAGAACATGTCACGTGAACAAAAATGTATTTCATCCGTAGCACAAACAAATTAGGGGAGTTTTTGACCAATATTGTCCCTTATCTTTGAGGATAGGTCTATTTTGGTCCTTCAAATATAATCTTGAGCATATTTAGTCCCTTAAGTATGCTAAAGTGGAGCACCTTTAGTCTCATTGACACAATATGTTCAAAAATTAATGGTGTTACCCAACTCTGATTCATGAAGCAAATCTTCTGCTCTGAATCAAAACGTTTCCTCTTCTTTTATTGGATAACACAAATTATCACTTTAATTCTTCATTTTTAGATAATGTCTTCTAAAATTTTGACCTTGAAAATATCCCCTTATGTGCCAGTTTTCAATGAGAAAATGACACTGTATAGCCACTGCAAAAATAATAGCCGAAAAATATATAAAATTTGTATATATATACATTTAAAAATTTTGGTTGATTTTTCTAAAAAGAAAAGTTAAAATTTGTAAAAAATAGAGTTGCGAGGATCACTTCTAAGGCCATCTCCAACCCTTACTTCCATTTTCTCCTCCAAAATGCAGTAAACTCCAAAATGCAGTAAAGTTACTCCAACTATTACTCCATTTTTTACTCCAAAAAAGAATATTCTATTTTATATTCTTCTCTCTCTTCAATATTATATTATTATCTTTATTTAAATTTTATTTTCTTATTTCTATTAAAGAAAATCTATCTTTTTTTTCTTTTTTACATATTCATCACATATAATTTAATATAAAATTATTTTATACCATAATTTTTTAAATAATATAATTTATAAGCAAATATTATAGATTATATATATTAAAGGATAATTCAAACAAAAGTGAAATCATTGAGATACGAGATAATTCAATACATATTATATTATGGTAAAATTCATATTAAATATTACATAAATATTCAACTTCCACCTCTAGTATGCTCCTATAAATGATCTATTAATGCATTACGAAGTGCAAATTGAGCATCTTTGTCCTTAATTTTTTTGTGTCGAGCTAAAAATTGCTCAAATCAATGATTTTCATCTACTACCATTTCTACCGTTGGAGGTGGACATTCCCAATCATCTTGAATTAGTGCATTAAGATCATGTTCATCCTCTATTATCATGTTGGTGTATCTGAAAACGACATACCTCCCTACTAAGTTATTGTGTTATTTACCGTAGTTTCAATTTTTATATATTTTAATTTAGTGTATTTTCAATTTTCATGTATTTCCAATTTTAATGTATTTTTACTTAATATATTTTCAATTTTCACTTTTCAATTTTAGCAGCATCTAATATTTTATATTCGCACCTTTCAATTTTAGCAACATCTAATATTTTATATTTGCACCATTCATTTTTTTGAGATGATTATACATTTTTTGTATAATTATAACTTATAATAAAATTAGCTTACAATTTTACATAAAAATAATAAATGCACGAAAATTAATTTATCAAAATTATACGCCAAAGTTAAGATGAAAAATTAATATTATAAAGATATTACATAAACATTATTAGGTATATATAAAGAGATAAATTAAAAGAGTTAAATAATAAAAATAATAATAAAATAATCATGAATAGTAATGGAGGAGATGAATAGTGTCACATCATATTTGGAGTAATACTATTCATCCCCATTTTGGAGGCAATAATGAGGGAGCATTGGAGCTCCATTATGGCAAAAATTGCCCCCGTTATGGAGAAACGAGGAAGGGTTGGAGATGCTCTAAGCATATTATTGAAGCAAACGAATAACCAGGTTGTATTATCACTTTTAGTCCGTGCCAGAAACTATTTACATCTGGTAACGAAAAAAATATATAAAATTTGTATAATTTTTGTATGTATATATATATATATATATATATATATATATATATACTATTTACATCTGGTAACGAAAAAAATATATAAAATTTGTATAATTTGTATATATATATATATATATACAAAAAATATATAAATTTTATATATTTATTTTTACAACGGCTATACAGTGTTATTTTCTCATTGAAAACTGACACATAATGAGATATTTTCAAGGTCAAAATTTTAGAAGATATTATCTAAAAATGAGTAATTAAAGTGATAATCTGCGTTATCCAATAAAATGAGAGGAAACGTTTTGATTCAGAGCAGAAGATTTGCTTCATGAATAAGAGTTGGGTAACACCGTTAGTTTTTGAACATATTGTGTCAGTGACACTAAAGGTGCTCCAGTTTAGAAAATTTAAGGGACTGAATATGCTTAGTACTATACTTGAGGGATCAAAATAGACCTACCTGACAATATAAACTCAAATTAGGGCAAACCGAATTTCTCTTCAGCAATTGCAATCAGATGACGACAATTTCTCTGCTTCGTTACTCTTCCAATGGTATTATTCCCTTTATCTCCTTCTTTGCTAATTCCCATTCTGTTTCGGCAATTCCAATCAGATATTATTCATCTCATAGCAATATTGAGAACGTAAGTGTTTAGATGATGCTATGAGTCTCTTCCATCGAATGGTCAGAACTCAGCCTCTTCCTTCTGTTTTTAGCTTCTCGAAATTATTAAAGACTATGGTAAATATGAAGCATTACTCTGCTGTTGTTCCCCTTTTTCGACAAATGCTGAAATCTAATATCCCAATCAGTGATTACATCTTGTGTATCGTGATTAACAGCTATTGCCTAATGCATCGTACTGATTGCGGATTTTCGGTGTTAGCCATTTACTTGAAGAATGATTCCATTTAATGTTGTCACATTTAGCACCTTACTAAGGGGACTCTTTGCGGAAAATAAGATAAAAGATGCAGTTAACTTGTTCAAAAAGTTGGTGAGAGAGAATATTTGTGAGCCGAACGAATTCATGTATTCCACAGTCATGAATGGGCTTAGCAAAAGTGGCCATACTCAAAAAAACTTTCGATTTGGCACGGGTAATGGAACAAGGAAGCACTAGGCCCTATGGAAAGATAGAATGTTAGATGCCGCAGTTAGCCTTTTTGAAGAGATTTGTAACAAAAAGGCATTCCTCTGGACATATAATTCGTTGATTGATGGTCTCTGTAAGTTTGGTAAGTGGGAAAAGGTTAGGCCTTTGTTCTTTGAAATGGTAAATCTTAATATTTATCCAAATGTGCGCACTTTGGCCATTGTAACGGATGGATTATGCAAAGAAGGGAAAGTTGAAGATGCCGATGAGGTAATGAGACACATGATTGAAAAAGGCTTAGAGCCTAATGTGGTCACCTACAATGTGATAATTGATGGATATTGCTTGCCCAGTCAAATGGATAGAGCAAGGAGACTTTTCGATTCCATGATAGATAAGATCATCGAGCCTACCATTATTAGCTATAACATATTAATTAATGGATACTGTAAGAAAAAGAAATTGGATGAAGCCATGCATTTGTTTCGTGTAATTTGTCGAAATGGACCGAAACCTAACATTGTTACATACAGTACTATCTTGCAAGGTCTATTTGAAGTTGGAAGAACTGACTTTGTTGAAAAATTCTTTGCTGAGATGCTATCTACAGGGCTCAAACCTAATATATGCACTAATGTCATTTTGCTTGGTGGTTATTTTCAGAATGGGCTTGTTGAGAAAGCTTTATTGCTTTTTCATGAGTTGGAAAGAAAGAAAGAATATACTGATATTGAACTTTACGGTATTGTAATTGACGGATTATGTAGAAATGGTAAGGTCGACAAAGCTCGAGCTATTTTTGAGAAGCTTTCTTTAATTGGATGGTCTCCCAATGTGATAACTTACAATATGATAATAAATGGGTTTTGTCTAGAAGGGTTGTTAGATGAAGCTAAAGATATGCTTAAAAAAATGGAAGATAATGGTTGTTCTCCAGATAATGCCACGTACAATATTATTGTTCGAGGATTTCTCAAGTTTCGCAGAACTAGTGAAATGGCAACTCTTTTGAAGGAAATGACTGGAAGGGGCTTCTCATTTGATGCAGCTACAGCAAAGTTACTTATACACCTTATCGCCGAGGATCCTTCTTTGCTTAACATGATACCACAGTTTCACTCACTCAACAACAACAACAAACCCAGTGAATTCTCACAAGTGGGGATGATACCACAGTTTCACTCGGGAAGTAAAAAGTGAATATTTATTTCACTTGGTTTATTCAGCTATATTTATCATTATGATGTAATTTCCTTTTACCTCTGCAAAGGAAATCGTATCTAATGGAAATGCAGAAGGTGAAAGAATGGCAGTTAGAACGTCCAAGTAAGCTTATTGAGGAGGTACATCAGTTCTAATATTTGATTGTTATTCCACTCTACTTTATCTTGGATATCATATTTTATTTCACTCTTAATATGACAAATGATGTGAGTTTTCTTATCTATACACATCATAAGTCTAAGAATAGTTTTTTCAGTGGTGTTTAGTAGTCGTCAGGTGTTATCATTTTCTATCATTTTGAGAATCAATAACAGCTTCCTGTCAGATGAGTAGCTTCTTTCTCCATGACGGAGTGAAGCATGGTGCTGGTATATTCTTCTCCAGGAAACAATACTCTTCTCTGACTTTAGAGCTAAGAAAACTTCGACTAGAACACAATGTGACTTTAGATATTAGAAAACTTTCGACTAGAATACAATGCGACTTTAGAGATAAGAAAATTTCGACTAGAATACAAGGCTAACAAGTTCGCTATATACTAGTGCAGTTATTCCTTTTACAGAGGAAATCAGCAAAGTAGTAAAACTCCCGGAGAAGCTTTTACAGCGGAAGAATGGGTTTAATGTTATGGATGCGGTGTTAAGCCTCGAATTATGGATGTCAGTCGCACAAAACAAATGACTCTGTTCTGGTCTTCACTGCACAAAGCATGAGCAAGCGCCCAATGAAGGGAATGCTTACAGGCCGTGTTACCATTTTAAACTGAGATGACCAACCGAGGTTTGTATTCTTAAGCTTCAACGCTTTTCTTTCCCCCATTCGGCATCACACACATCTATGTTGACTGATGTTTTATTGCTTTTCAGATTTTAGACTTGTTATCAAATTGTTTTGGCTATTAACGATGAGGTTGAAGATCTTGAGAAGGCTGCATTAATGTCAAGAGAGGGTTTGCCGCTTAGAAAGTCCTGGGAAGATTTCTACTTGAACTCGGATTTACATTCATTCAGGATACATGGTAAATCTAGGAATAGCATTCCAGTGCTCTTTACTAGTCTTAAGGTATTATGTTGCCGAGGTTGCTTATATGGCTTTAACAAAATATTCGTATTCTCTTCCGCCTTCTTTACACAAGCCAAGTCGATGTTAAGGAGGCTTTGTTCAAGCTGATAGATGTTTGTCTTGAGATTAACAAACAATGACATTTTAATGCTGTTGGAAGACTATCGAAAATTTCACTTTTGTACAGTAAATTGACATCTTTTCCCATTTCAGGCAAATCCTTCCTTACCGATGATCCTTCAGCTGTTTTCTCAGAATTGGAAGGTGAACTTATCAAAACTGAACCTTGCATGGATTCACTCTGTCCATTTCTGGTTGTCAAGAAAAATTCAGAGGTCCGTCTCATATTTTTCACCATGTACCTGTTCCAACTACTGTGATTGGCCTATTATTACCGGTTCTGATGCAACTAAGTATTCATGCCTTTGGCAGATGAAGAGGAGATGGCTCACTCTAAATATACATCTCCACAGTCCATAGGTGCTGAAAAGGTTAATGCATGTTCAATGTAAATAAGAAGCCATGTTCTTCGATGGAATTGTTGTGCCATTTGCCTAGAGAAACTATATCATCAGCTGCAATGACACCATCCGATTCATCCATCATCCTGAATGCAAATTCTACCGTGACGAAGATTGCAGAGGCATGTTACTTACGTTTAGTGTCCTCTTGAACACAGAGGCTGGCAAGGATTATTATAGCTACCATCTATTTTAAGTATTTTTATAATTTATTTTCTGAAACATTGAAGTGTTTTGGAAGTTAAGTTGTATTAATATGAATTTAGCCGGGTAAGTTCTTGTCATATTTTAGTTGACTAACTGGAACTGCCCGAGTTCTTCTTGTCATATCTTAACTGCTGCTAGATGGTTAGAGACCTCAGATGCAGATACTCTGCTTCCTGATCCCATTTCCCTTTTACAGTCATGTTTTCTGCTTTATCTTCGAGTTAAATGAACGCTTAGGACATGGATTTGGTCATTTGCCCTCCCCTTTAGAAAGCACACATGAGATGCAGACCATTTCACCTCATTAGCACTTGTGATTTATTCAAACAAATTGATTGATTACAGTTTAGAAATTGAATAGTTATTCTATTCACAGTCAGCTGGGAGGAAATGCAAATATCCCAACCAATTTTGGGCTACAGAAAAACTAGATCCATTTCTTCAGCTTTGTTCGCAGACTTCATCATGTTGGCGACATAGACCCCAATACCAAGAATCAACAGAGCAACAAGAGTCATTTTCATCATTTTCCTTGGCTTCTTCAGGTTTGCAGCCAAACAGCTAGCTTTTCCGGTTGTTTCATCATCTGTCGAATCATCAGACGATTCATCACTTTCAGATTCACTGTAAGAACTACTTGAACTACTTTTATCTGCTAGTGATTTTTCTCCAAGATTTCTAGCCTCTGTTTGCTCACTGGTTTTAGGACTAGTGCTGTTTTGTTCTTCCTTTGCTGGCTCTTTAGCTGGGTTATTAATATCAGCATTATCCTGCTTAGTAAATTCCTCTCTTAAAGAGGTCTTCTGTCTTTTAGCAGTGGTATTCTCAGCTTCTGAGGCTGGCAATTCCTTGTCCTTTTTCAGTGTTGAAGTTATCAGTTTTGGCTGTTTAACATGAAGAATGCCGTTTTCAAATTTTGCACTGATTTTACTTTTGTCACAATTTTCTGCAACAGGAAAGTCCTTCTGAAACCTCTGCCATTTATTTTGCCCAATCGGCCTTTGTCCGCTGATCTTCAGAATTCCCGTTTTGGTCAGTTGAACCCTCACCTGTTCCTTCTTGAAACCTGATGATTTCAATCTTCATCAGTGTGTTATCATATATGAAATCAATATGTTCCGGAAGATAGAATTTCAATCTTTAAGGTTAACTATTGCCGTGGAAATAGCCTCTTGCAGAAATATAGGGTAAGACTGTGTACGATAGACCCTTGTGGTCCGGCCCTTCCCCAGACCCCGCGCATAGCGGGAGCTTAGTGCACTGGGCTGCCCTTTAAGGTTAACTATGAAAATTATTAGGAAAATAACAACGGTCACGCCTGATGTGGGTACATGACTTCTCAGATATCTTAGTTGACATGAGGCATGGAATAAGTTACTGTGAGATGCGGCGTCTTCATCCGATTATGAATTTTTCATTTTCTGGAGAATTGTTAACATTATTCTGAGCATAGCGGAAAAAATCTCATATAGCAGTATAGCAAAATTTTCATTTTATAGAATCCCTGTAATTTCTCATCATGTTGTAAGGTTAATATCACCAGTGGTGAATTCAACATATACTAGTAACTAGTTGCGGTGTGCACTAGATGGAGTCATCTGTATATATGTTCTGTAGAAATTTTAAAGAATTTTTTATTTAAAGTATCAATATATATTGAGAGGTCACCCACTGCTTTTAAATACTGGATCAGTCTATAAATCATTCTATCGCAAGTGTATTGCATGCACCGTTTTGGCGGGAGAGGGAGGTGAATTCAAAATTTATCTCAGTTTGTTTTACTCTATATATGTGCCAACTTGTTTCTCACACGGGCGAGCACTTACATATATATAGTGAGAGTTAGATGCAATATTATCTACTGAATCCACAACAACAACATATCTAGTGTGTTCCCACGAGTGGGATCTGGGGGGTGGAGTGTACGCAGACCTCACCCCTACCTTGTGTGAGGTAGAGACTGTTTCCGATAGATCTACTGAATCCACATCTAGTATAAATCCGTCAGTGGTGGGAGGAGGAAACAGATGATTAATGACAGGAATGAGTAAAGAATAGCACCTGGAATATTAAGATGAAGAGTGTCAGAGAGTTCTTCTTGAACCAGTTTTGATGTTGGCACAAAATCTTCATATATTGGAGTTGGTGTAGCAACTGCAGCTCCCTTTGAACCCATTTCCTGTGTTTCTTTTCTTTCCTTTTTGCTAATATGTAATAAGTATTTCCTTTTATCCTTTGTTCTTTGTTCTTGTTGATGGAAAGGATGAAGTTTGTAGTGTGTATATATACACACAGAAAATTCCTCAAAGAGAACTTTCTTGAATTGCTTTATCTGTTTTCTTCCAAATTACATATTCCTTAACTTATTTCCATTCCTGTTTTTTTAAACCTTTTCTTTACTCTACATAGTTTTCTTGTACAATAAATAAACATGAGAAAAACTCCCACAATAGGAAACCTGAAGTTCAAAATTTGCAGTTTCCTATTGAACAATTTTTCCCGCAGAAGTTTCTTTGGGTAACTTTGTGGTATTCTTCCTGCATGCTGAAGAGAGTTTCTTTTATTGTTGGAAGTGTATCTTTTGGCACGAGAGAAGTTGGTACATTCTTGGAGAAATGTATATTTTAACCGCTCCCAAAAATAATAGCTGACAATTTTTTTGTTTGTTGTATATGCGTATTATATTCAAAATATGTATATATTTTATACATTTTTTGGCTAGTGAATGCAATTAATTTCAGCAGATCGACCACTTTTGTATTTTTTTCCCTATATTCTTCAATGTGGGGTTCTTCATTTCTCCAACCTTCGCCTAAATTGTTTACTCTTTCTTTGCATAAAAGTCCTACTTTATTCATTTTTCGTTACCATAATGTGCTTTATTGTGGAAGCCAAAATTAGCACGTGCGTTACGAGCCTAACTGGCTAACCGCGGAACAATTCTCATATTATGAAACCCAACGCTGTTATTTAGGAATTACTTAATGTGTTATGAATTTTAGTTTTTTAGTTCATTTTTTTTGGGTCACAAATATCTTGAAATTAAGATTTTTAGTTTAAAATTTAAGGACAAAATAACTAACACTCCTAGATTGGTTGTTTGTGTACTTTCCCCGACCTATCCCTTATTGTACGAGTCGCTTTCGAGTGCCTCAATGACTATTTGTGTAAATATTAATTCCCATATTACCATTAGAGAAATCAAAACAAAAAGGGGCTGAAAAAGAAAGCACACTAATAAATATATCTTGTAATTATTATAGGTAAAATATTAAACTTGGAAAATTCATTATATCTTACATAACTGACCACTGAAAATACATTCATAGAAGGAGACTGACATACATAATTCCAAACACGATATTATTTATTTCACACGGTGGCTAAAACTAGCCAATCTTGCCAAATATTCATCACATACGAGCGCGCGCGCATACATACACATATATATAGAGATCTTTTATTTCTTGAGAAGGTGTGCATCTATATCTTTGGTCAAATCAAGGACTACACCCAAGAAATCGAGAGGCTCAGGGGTGTCTTCAGTTTTCTTCTCGTACACTAATGTCCATGTAGTCCACTGATCTTCACTGGATGTGATAATAGTGAAGTAATTATACAACTCTAACAAATCTCCTTCGATCACTTTCCAAGTGATTGATTTCTTCTGATGATCGAAGGCTTCAATCACTTCCTTAACAATCTTTTCTTTTCCATCTATAATCATTAAAATTCAAAAATACAAGAGATGTTACTCCTAGTTCAATAGTGCAATTCCTCATAAAAGATATAAACATTCACGAAAAAATTATAGATTTGATTATAATGTGTTTGGTATGACTGAAGCAATTTTTCATGAAAAAGGTTTTGTTCTGCAAAATATTTGGAAAATATTTTCTAATATTTGATTGGTGAGTGAAAGAAATATTACGGAAAGCATACATTAAAGATAATAATAGTAATAATATTAAAAATTTATAGGTAATTTAATTTGATAAAATTTTGAGTGCTAAAAACTAATAGTAACGCCTAAAGGTTAATTGGAGCAAGTAGAAGAAAGTTAAAAGTTAAGATAGTTGTAGTAATTTTCCCTAGAGGAAATGACTTCCGCCTAAAGAAGCTATGTTTCTTCCTTCTTTTTTTTTAATGCAAAATGTCTTACTCAGAATATATTTATGGTAATCAAACATCATCAAAATCAAATACACCTAAATATAAAAAAATTGATGCATATAAAGAGAGCGGGGAAATGTGTGTTACCCTCGTTGTATTTCCAGCTAACGATCGAACCAACCTTTATGATTTGACCTTCATGAATCTCAAAATGGTTGATCTTACTAGGGCTTATGTTGGGTATATGATGAGTATTAACGTGAAAAATATCCTGAACAGAGTGTCCTCCACTCTTCACCTCTAATGAAGCAATCAACTTGCCCTTCACACCCATATTTTCTTCTCTTCGGAATAGCAATAGTTTTGAAAAGAAAGTGGTGAGAAAATGTTCAGAACTTGTAGTCTTTATATAGATTTTAGTTAGCTATAAAATTTTAAATTATGGACCCCTTTAAATTTCAGTGGCGTGTCCAGGTTGAATTGATTACTAATTATATATTTTTGACCTTGTATATATAGTATAATTTCTCGGCGAAATAGTCCATGCATCCTCTAGCTCTGCCCCTAGTTAAGGAGGCTATTTTGTTAGCAAACGAAGAGCCGAAGTTGATCCTTATTGATAGCGAGATGAAGAAATCAAGGATATTAATTATTTTACTCTCTTGGCTAATTTAAAAGCAAGGTTTTTAATTATTTGACTTTCTTGACCAATTTCGAGTGTCATATCTATTTGTTTAATTAATATCCTTTCCCTTAAAATATCTATAAGGCCATATGCCTATTGTGTGAGAGAGGATTGTAAATGAATTATATTTCAGCCCCCAAAAAAATGTCCTTTAAGGATTTGCAAAATATAATCAGAAATGGCTTTGTTAACTTTTCATCAGTTTTTCTAAGTTTCTTTTTTTGCACTTTAAATTAAGAAACTTCTTTCTCTATAAGTTGATAAGTTTGGGCATAGGGCAACCAAAAGAAAATGTGAATGTCACGTCTCAAATTCACGTGAT